CTTCCTCTTTTGTCCAACGGATGTAATTCTTGCGTACTGCCAGTTGTTACTGCAAGGGCTGTTGGTGTAGATCTTGACAGTGTAGTACCACAGTGCTATACAGATAAATAGTGTGAGCTGTAGGGATTTTGCTTTGAGGAAGTGCTAAGAGGTGGTGGGAGAATTTACAGTTGTCCAGATCAGTTGGTGGGTAAAACAGCAGAACGTGTACTACATTTGTTATGGGCTACCCAGGAATGTATGCAGCAATACAAAACGTGGCAGTTGTAAAGGGGCAGCTCAATTCCTTGGACTGTTACACTGAAAAGTTTCCATTAAAAAAAAATGTGTTTTCCGTACGAACATCAATTGCTGTTTTGTCTCATGTGTGGTTTATTGGCTTGCAGGTTTTCTTTGGCTTATTGAAAGAACCAGAGTTTGATGTGCCTTTGGATGATGAAGATGAAGAAGGAGAAAATGAGGAAGGAAAGCCAAAGAAGAAAAAACCTAAAAAAGATAGTGTAGGGTCAAAAAGTAAAAAACAAGACCCTAATGCTCCTCCCCAAAACAGGTACCAAGGGAATGATGTGTAGAGAAGCCTTGTTAAATCCAGTCTTGTCATGCCAAATCTGCATCCCTGGCCACATGATGTTTTTAGCTCTCTGGCCATTTCAGTGGTACGCAGCTTTAGCAGTAAGACTTCCAAGGGAGGTAATGGGAAGCTTAGCATATATCCCTCTGTCTTTGCTCTTCCAGTCCAGCTCGTTTTCCTAGCAGTTAATCTTTCACACAGGCTTTCATTTTTCTGCTTCTTGTTTCCAATCAGAATATTAAGATATAGGGCTGCATGCACACGTTTCGCCGCCTTTGTTTAGATGAACAATATGGAAGGTGCTTTTATTGTGTAAAAACATGTGCTTCTTGTAGAATTCCGCTGCCTGAACTGAAAGACTCTGACAAGCTGGATAAAGTAATGAATATGAAGGAAGCCGCAAGGCGTGTGCGTCTTGGCCCAGAGTGCCTGCCCTCCATCTGTTTCTACACGTTCCTCAATGCTTACCAGGTTCGTAAAAGAAGAGTTTGGGTAATATGGAAAAGGGAATCAAAATTATAATCATTACTCTTAATAAAGAAAGACGACACAGAGTTGGCAAGGGTTACTGGAGTATTTGGAATAAGCCTTAAAAATCTTTAGTTTCCATAAAGACTCTTCTAATTTCCGTGTTTCTTGGTTTTGCTTTGATTTTGCCATAATTTCTTCATTTGTTTTCCTCTGGGGGGCCCTGATTGTATTCTGCAGAATACAGGAGGTGTTCTGCCCCAGAATACTGCAAAACAGTACTGTTCTGTCACTCCTGACTGTGCTTCATTCATACAGCATTAACGGTGCAAGAATTTGTCTGTGGTTTTGTCTATCCTAGAATAATTCCCTCTTATTTTTGTAAATAAGTTAATTTTCTTATTAGTACTTAGGATTTTGTAATATTTGAAATGCATCACAAAAGATACAGTCGATATAAATGGGTATTTTGTGCGCAGGGTCTGACCGCAGTGGATATTACCGATGACTCTAGCATGATTGTAGGAGGCTTTGCGGACTCTACTGTCAGAGTGTGGTCCGTGACTCCAAAAAAGCTACGTAGTGTGAAAACAGCAGCAGGTAATTAAGACAATGACACTTAATACGAGCACGCATTGCTTGTGACAGCTGTGTTCACGTGAACGGAGAAAGCTGGCTGTGGTGGGAGGGTTGTCTCCAGCCGTTACGTGCTTTCACTCTGGAGACGCAGTATGCGCGCAGCTGTGTGACTGCATCTTACCTACCACCATCAGAAACAGTTTTAAAGGAGTGAGCAGTCGGGTTGTGTACAGCTGCTGGGAGGTGGACAGAGCTTGGAACTAGCCATAACTGGCGTGGA